GATTTTGGAGAGCAGTGCAGCTGCATTCCAGTGAAGGGTCTTGTTTTTCTCCAGGTCAAAGGAGAGGGGTGCAGCCTCTTGATTCAGCCAGAAATCTGACTGAGTCTGGGGTTGGGGTATTAAGCCAACAGCTTTACGCCTCACTCCCAGACTTGCTGGAGCCAAAAGGCCTTTAACTTTTGGGTAAACACTCTGCCGGAGGTAGAGTTTCAGCCAGTGTTCGCTACAATAGCATGAAACAAAAGTGCATGAAATAAGACTGTCATGTGCCCGTCCCCCAGGCCCTGACGATGGCTGCGAGAGCCAGCAGGAAGGCAGAGCCTGCACTATGAATGAGGGCAAACCCTGACGAGGACGGCGGGGAGAGGAGAACAGTGAGTGCATGGGGACGGTGCGCGAGTTCTGAGCCCCAGCTCCTGGGCGCCACCTCCGGTCATGCAGTGAGGCCACTTTAATTTGCCTCACATTCGATCCGGGCGGACAAACTGCGGATCGGGCATGGTGACGAGGAGGCAGAGCAACAAGCTCTCGTTCCTTCTCCACTCAGGTGCTCAGCGTGAGCGCCTTTTAAAAAGAGCAGAGAGGGAACACAGAGAGAGAGAGAGAGAAAGGGATGAGCAGCAGCAAGAGACTGAAGCCAAAGAGCTGAAAAGCTTGAGTGAGAAAAGTCTAGACTGAAAAGTCTAGCTGAAGGCACTGAAAAGTGGCCAGCTTAGCATAGATTTTGGTTTTGTTTCACTTGTTGTGTTTGTGTTTAAACATGAAATTAAAGTAATGGCTGCTGCAACTCTGAACCTTGTCTCCAGCATCCTCCTTGAGTTCAGGGTGGCAGGTGACATGCTATAAAGATGATTGTACAATCAGTGAAAACTGTAGCTCAATCAACAAAACCAGAATTAGAAATAATATCAAAAGGAGTGCTTCCTAATAATTTAAGTCCACACTCAGTCCCAAGCAATCAAAAGTGCATTATAATAGTTTAAAAGCCCTTGGAAAAAACAGAAACCTGGTATATTTTGTGCAGCTCTGTGGCTGCAGAAATGTCTTATTATTGTGTATGGACTAATAATCTGACTTTACAGACAAATGTAAATGAAAGGGATGTCTCAAGTCCAATAGGATCCTACAGATCTAATTTCTGGTAATGTCCTCTCTTCCCTAGGCTCTGTAATAAATACAGAAGACACACTACAAAAAAATAAATAAATAAAAAAATAAAATAAAAGGTTTTGACCCATAAGGTCAACACAGGCCCGGAGGACGGGTGCATGCCATAGTCCTACATACTAAATTCTCATGCTCTATGTTGTCTCTCTTGGTTTATAAATCTAAATCAAATAATTGGTTCTTTTTTGTAAATTCAAGAAACATTTGATTTAAGATACACTATATGGTCAAAAGAGGTAAAGCTTCCCAGAAGATATTGGTGTGTGTTTGTGCCCATGTTGGTCGAGAGGGCCTGTCTCACAATTGACATTCCAGTTCATCCCAAAGCTGTTCAGATGTGTGGAATAATGAAGATTCTAAATTGACTGAAAAAAAGGTTGGTTGGTGTTGGGGTTTAGACTCTGGTAGACTGAATCTGATTTGTTGATGTTGGGGTTTTGATTCTGAAAGGTTCAACCCATGGTGATGATATTCTGGATTCCAGGTGGATCATTTTCGTAATCACCTTTAGCCTAAATTAGATGAAACTGCATGAAACTGCTGAACAGCAAATGACATGTCAATAAAGTTCTTTATTTGCTTGCTTATGTCTTACGAAACATGCATTCATTTTCATTGTAACTGGAACATAATATTCCTGAGCTCTTAGCAACCACACAGTGTAAAGTTTTCATGTATGAATTCAAAGCTAAAGATGTCCCCTCTTAGATTCTGTGGGTGTTATTGGCTCACAAACAAATATATTCCTTAAGTGACGGTCGTTTGCACCAGACGAGCACAGGATCACACTGGCATTGAAAGTGTCCTATCAAATCTGTTCACAGCGTTTATCCATAGTCCCAGAAGTGACTGACACATTTTAAACAAATAGTGGTCACTCAGCTCACTCATTTGTTTTATACTCTTCAGTTGTTGTACATTAAAGTCAGGAGGAGGGGTAGTGAAACCTCATTTAACATCACCATTAAAGAGAATGTCATTTAACTTGGATCTAGCCCACATTATTAATGAAGCAAAAATCCAGAATGTGTGGAATCCTGTTAGCACCAGCAGAGAGGTTTTCAGCAGTAGAATAACTGACCTGAGATCAGATAGAGGGTAAAGATGAGGAAGATCTCCACCCTGAACTGAACTTCACCTTCACTGGCGTTTACACAAACAAAGCACCCTGACTTCCTTAGGATTCAGAAACACCTAGTCATTGTCCAGTCTTCCACAGTCCTGCATTGTGAAATTCTACTTTTTCTAAACTGGTAAGTCTCTCTCTGGTGTGCCTGTCTGTCTCTCTCTTGTTTGGTTGGTTCCTCTTTCTCTGGTGTCGGAGTTGCTCAAACTCCCGATCTCCTCCCAGCAGCACTGACCAAAATATCTTAAGGAAGTTTGTGGGTTTTCAAACACAACCTTACAACAACATGGATGTAAGAAGAATGTGTAGACGTAAGGCATTGTGTTTTAAACATACTGTGTCATTCTGCCACTGGTTGTGCATTGGGTGTTTTGTGGCTATGCAAATAAGGCTGATGGGAAATGCATGTATAGCCCCTAAAGACAGGATTAATTGGGTTTTAATGTTGTTGTTCCTTAGTCTGAGTATGTGTTATTAGGGCTATTTCTCATCTGGGTGTGTGGGTTAGTGGGTTTTTTCGCACCCTGGGAGAGGATCCCCAGCGGCATGAAGCCTTTAGTTAGTGGTCAGGTTTTACGAACATTCAGACACCAAACATGTCTCTGCTGATTGATTACATTTGGGATAAGGGGGTTATTTGAGTTTTCAGTGAGCCAAAGCATCATCATCCTAAAAAAAAATTAAGTTCTGGGCAAGTTAAATACTGTGGAATTTGTTGCCATGTTTTGTTTTGGGCTTTAATCATATTTGTCATATATTTGGTCACATATCTTATTAATTCAAATTAAACGTAGTTACTGTAATTAATATCAGTAAAGGTATACATTTTCTACCCAGCCTGATTTATTAGATGAAGCTTCTTCATCGAAACCTAAACAAATGCGTCAGCGTTCAAAAATATGTTGTCACGTTTGAACAAAAAATTAAACAGCAAAAGTCAATGTAAACAACAAATGTGAAGATATGAGTGCAGAAACAAACTAACTAACCTCTCCACAAAGACGATGGAGCCAATATAAAACACACAGCAGGTCCTAAAGGGTCTGATACCCCTAATTACCCTCTTGGACCCCGTGAATGTCTCAAAATCAAAATTCTAGGGTGGGGGTCCTAGAAAAGAAATTTATTATGACGTCATCATGTCCATTGGGGAACAATTGACACTCAAATCCAAATCAGGGAAAAGTCTTTCTTTAATCTACTTCACCCACAATCAGCTTCTGTCTTTGATATTCTCAACTAACTAGAGATGCAGCACCCGTCTGCCTCAAGGTGGCGCTGCAGCAAATTGGTACACTCAGTTGGTCCTTCATAGCCTAGCAACTGTACCTATGCCCTGGATGCCTCTGAATAACTTCACCATATGCTATTTGCAAATCTGAAAACTTTCCCAATTTCCCAAAAGACTGGGGGAAAGAGTGAACTGTTACTCATTTCTCAAGCCTAAAACAAAAATAAAAGAGGAGATGTATAAGATCTCAGTTAATATGCTGATGACCATACCACCAAAATACCACCATACCAAGAGAATTTCCAGGAAAAGAACTGTTAAACCAAACATTTGTTTTTACCATAAAAAGCATCAGTGCTGTTATGGTGAGTGAGTTAGCAGCAGCTATTTCACACACTGATTGTAGCTTTCTTCATATCAAACCAGCCTGGTTGCAGCAGCAATCCATATGTTTCCTATTAAAAAGCCATTATAGAATTCATAAATATGTACAACCTTAATGAACCAGAACATATAGGTGCATGTTTTAATTAGAAGAAAGCAAGTACATTAATATTGTACAATCTGAGCAATGTCCAAACTACAGTGAAAAATGGTCTGATATCAGCACAAAGAGCTTAAAACTAAAATACCTATGCTTTTCAAGCTGCATAGAATAACTACATTTATCAAACTGAGAATTTGCAGACATGCGGATATGCACATGGTCTTTTAGTAAAATGTATGGATCAATTAACTGAACAGGTTCAAAGTCAGAGTTGAAAACCTATTTCAGACATTTAACGGACTTGCACTATTTTTTTTTGTTTGTTTTGAATGACCTTATGTTTTCGTTATGTTTATTTAATTAAAACAAATGAATAGACATTCCATTTTGTCACTACCAAAACAATCATAACACTACCGAAACTGTTTCAGTAGTGAAAATTTACACTAACACGTTACACGCTAACCAGTACTAGCAAACAGAGCTTTGAACAGTTGTACACACATAAAATCATCATATTTTTCATTAAAAATTAAAAAAGTTACTTTATTGCAATAAATGTGTTTCAGTAGTGACAATTCTTAATGTTTCAAACTGATTTTCAGACTTTGGGACACATCTACTTCAAAACAGCGGGATCTAACTGCTCACCATGTGGCCATGAGGGACAGGGATGCAGTATCACTTCCTGCTCTAAAATGCATAGGCTCCACCCTTGGACAAGTTTTGGTAAAGATATCAAAACATAGGGCAGCTTTTTTTTTAATATGTTTTTATTATTATTTTAACATTTAACTCAGAAATCAAAATCTTTCAACTTCACTTAAAAAGAACTAAACAATAGCCATAAAAAAACACTGAAAAACATTGAAAAACATATTGCACCTTAAGGCTACTGTGAAAAAGAGTTAAACAGTGATATATACAGGACAGCAGAGTTCTCAAATAAAAAAACGAGTTTAAGCAGCTGCTGAATGATGAGTGGGAGTGAATCAGGCAGAGTGACAGAGTGAGATTAGGAGTGAGGTTTTACACTTGTTGGGGTGCTACTGATGCACAGAATCTTTACAGTCATACCAGTTACAGCAATGTTAAAAAGCATCAAATAAAGAACAAAAATAAAGACTCAAGAATTGTTATTGGTCTCAGTGATAAATAGGTCATTCCAGCTGTGGGTGGTGGTTGACACTGGCGTACACAGTAGCAGATTTCTCTGTATGGAAGGCGACTGTGGAATTAGTATGAGAATCTTCATTCTGGATACTAACCGTGGCTTCAGTGGGGAGATCAACTTCGCTGTAGATGTGCTGGACAGGGGAGTTAGGTGGTTGCTGTGCAGTGACATTCACAGCATTTGGAGGATCAGAGGGTAGCTCCACAGAAAGCGGAGTAGCTCCGGTGTCTGCATTGGGTCTGGGGTCTCTAATTTCCTCATAGTCACAGGCAGAGTGAGAAATCTGAGGAGAGAAACAAACTGTTAATGTGTGCAATAAAATGAATTTTTATTTGGATTTTATGTCAAGGACCTGACAAAATAGTTCAAATTGTTGAAGAATGAAAAAAATAGTTGTTCATATAAATAAACAGGCTTTTGCCAACCCAACCAATTAACTTCAGAAGTCACATAATTAGTTGATAAGGGTCCACTTATGTGCAATCACTTGATCTGTCACATGATATCAGTATAAATACACCTGATCTGAAAGGCCTCTGAGTCTGCAGTGCCACTAAGCAAGCAACATGAAGAACAAGGAGCTCTCCAAACAGATCAGAGACAAAGTTGTGGAGAAGTATAGTTCAGGATTGGGTTGTAAAACATATCCCAAACTTTGAGCATTCCACAGAGCACCATTAAATCTATTTTAACAAAAGGAAATAATATAACACAATTACAAACCTGACAAGAGAAGGCCGCCAAAAAATTGGGCAAGCAGGGCATTAATCAGAGAATCAACATAGACACTAAAGAAAACTGAAGGACCCCTAGAGGTTCACAGCAGAGATAGGGGTATCTGACCTTAGGACCACTTTAAGCCATACACTCCACAGAGTGGGCTTTATGGAAGAGAAGCCAGAAAAAAGCCATTGCTTAAATAAAAAAAAAAGACAACACATTTGGAGTTCGTCAGACAGCATGTGGCAGACTCCCCAAACACATGGAATAAGGTTCTCTGGTCAGAGGAGACTAAAATTGAACTTTTTGGCCATCATGGGAAATGCTGTGTAGCGCAAACCCAACACTTTATATCACCATGAAGACACCATTCCCACAGTGAAGCATGGTGGTGGCAGCATCATGCTGTGGGGATGCCTTTCCTCAGCAGAGACTGGTCAGGAATGAAGGAAAACTGGATTGCAGTAAATATATAGTAATTCTTGCGGAAAATGTGTTTCAGTCTGAGAGATATTTGAGACTGGGATGGAGGTTCACTTTCCAGCTGGACAATGATCCTAAAAATACAGCTAAAGCTACACTGAAGTGGTTCAAAATGAAATATCTTGGAATGTCCTAGGGGAATATTTTGGAGGTTAATAAAACTCTGTTTAGATATGATTTGGTTATTTTGTAGGCTAATAAAGCTGTGTTTGGGTTTAGTTGGTATAGAACTATATTATTTTGCAAATTAGTAAAACTATGTAAAGGTTTGGTTGGTATAGAACTATGGCATTGTTTTTAGAGGAACCTACGGAGTTATACACTAAGTAGTGAGTTGCTTATTTATACTGGTATTCATATCTGTTTAAAACACAATCTGTTCATTCTGATGAATCTGCAGTTACTTACTCTATTTTTGCTACCCATCTTTGCCACATTAAATGAAGAGATGGAACCTGTTAACCACAAACAAACAAACAAAAAATCAATCCTACTATGTACATTTTACCCACATATGACCTCAATTAGATCTAAGAAACAGATGAATATATCTAAACATCCTACATCTGTTAATAATGACAGACAACTAACATACACAATGCAGTTCATTAACAGATAAAAAACAACCTGGAAATCATGTAAAATCTCACTAAAGCCTGTTTTTTTTACATAAAGTCATTCAGAGTGGTTTGGTGTGAAATGCTCAGTTCTAGCAAAATGTACTGAGTCAGAATTGTTCACAGTGATGGTGATAGGAACCAGCTATCTGAACCGTTTAATATCTCTAAAAGCTCCCTCACAGAGTTATTACATGAAGTGGTTATCAATATGCTGCCTGATGTTGGACACTGCCTGTTCTATGATAGTTTTGAAAAGATTTTTTTAGCTTAAAACATTAAAAACACATATGGCAGAGAGGCACATGCAGGGCGTTCTAAGCCAAATAAGTTCTCAAAGAAAGCTTATTATTTAAGATTTTCCACTATTTTCCATCATCGACAATCCATATAAACTCAGAAGACTCGTGTAGGTTCACTGGTGGTTTTGGACAGTAAACAAAATGTCTATATTTGTGTTGTAGCCATGGCGACCCATGGTTCCTATCACCACCACTGTAAAGACATCTGAACCGTTTCACACCAAACGACTCTGAATGGCTCTGTTTACATGAACTATGCAAAAACTTTGAAAAAAGGCCCCTTTTAATACATATTTATTGAGCTGCTTTCTAATCAAACCTAAATCGTTTTTATATTTGTTCAATGACCCCAATGTTTCCTAAATCTCAAAGATTTAGATGTTCAGTTTAGACTAGAACATAGCTACGTTTGTGTGTGTGTGTGTGTGGTACCTTGTGTCTTGGTGCCTCTCAGTTTGTAGAAGATCAGTGCTGATCCTCCAATCAGCAGCAGAGCCACACAGACGCACACAATGATGATGATGATGATGACAGAGGAACCTGGAGAAAGAACAGACAATGAACCGTCAACTCATGACAATAACTAGGACACCAAGTATGGACCTTTTCTGCCCCCCCACCACCCTGTGTATTCTCATTTATATTATTCATAAAGTTTATTTGTAAAGTATAAAAGTCATAAGAAAGCATTAGATGAAACGTAGCATACAATGCAGAAAAGCTTGCATTTCACACTATTCTGTCAGCAGGGACTGATTCTCCACTGACCTCAGGGCAGCTGTAAGTTACCCATAAACACATTATCTGCATGTTAATTCTAAACATGATGCTTTGCTACACAGAGTGCCTTTGACTTCTTAGGTGTACAGATGTGCGACACTATAAGCTATAGTTATAATATAATTATGAATGTTTACAAAAGAACAAATAGCATGAGTGTTTATGGAGTGGCAGTTTATGCTTGTAAAATGCAGCCCCCAAAATCATGCTCTTTATGTTGTCTATGTTTAACAGTGCTGGTTAATTTAGTATGTAAATCTACATTTGGTGGATAATTTACCTGGTGGTGGTGGTTGTTTTGGAGAAGGTGATGTTTCTTTAGCTTGTGTAAAATATACAATACAAAAGAAAACACTACATTAAAACAGCAGCGAGCCTTTATGACATCTAGGATTCTGAATGTTGCACAAAATCTCTCTTTCTTCAGTACATTTCTTCACATGTGTGCTGAAACACTGTGGATTGATTAGGACAGTTGACTAAAACCACACAAGCCTAAACTCAGACTCTGGTGGATAAAGGGTTTTGTTCTTACAGTCAGTATGAAACACTGGTCACTGTGGCTTTCACAAGTTTTGTTCTGTCAATAGCAGTAATTAGTGTATGTAATCACTGATCATCTTATCTGTTAAGATGTTCTGTTTTGATAAGCACAAAACCAATTAACAAGAGAGATACTTTCATATTGGCATGATCTGTTATACATTTTACTCACTAGTGTTAAAAGCTTTATACAAACTAAAGTTGCATTTACTTGTACAATCACTATTTAATGTACACAAATGATGGATTAATACTTTAACATCAGGAAAAGTTAATGTATCTCACCAGTGACCTGTAGCTGAACCTCTGTGTAGAAGGAGTGATAACTGACTGAGTCTCCTCCACTCAACACTGCACAGTAATAAACTCCTCCATCATCTTCTCTCACATCACTGATTCTCACACTGACAACTTTAGAGCTTCTGTCATCAGAGAGGGAGAATCTGTCTCTCTGAGTCTCTGTGGTTGTGATCACTTCAGTAAAATCTTGACCATCCTGTTTGAATAAGTACTTGTAGTTTGTTTTAAACTCCTCTGGATATGAACAGTTGATGGTGACAGTCTCTCCCAGATAAGCAGTCATAGTATTTGGACTCAAACAACATGAATCTGTCAATCATAGAAAAATAAATAAAACAATAAACTTATCTTCTTTTAAAGGTCCTCACAGCACATCGATATAAAACATAAAAAAGGTTATAGACAGATTTATGACAAACATAATGTCCTGCAATTTTAATCTCACCTGTGTTCACTTTCAGGTTCACATCATGTTTCCACTCTCCAGCCTCTCCACACCGATATGATCCAGCATCCTGTAAACTCAGGTTTCTGTAGATCACTGTAAAAACTTCACTAGAGTCACGTAGAGAAAATCTGTCTTTATGACTCCATTTGTTCTGAATTCTTACATTTACACACTGCTTTGGTGTTTCCTTACAAAAATATTTATTAAGCACTCCATACTGTTTGTGTTTGCAGTAGATTATGACACTACCTCCTGAGTAGCCAATCACATCAAAGCAGCTCACTGGACCTGCCAATCAGATTGAAATGTCTCACTCATCTCTCTGATCTCATCAAATTCAACCAAATTTCCTCACATCTACAGTTCTGTATCAAAATAACTACAGCACAGAAATAAATTACTTCATAAATATATTAAACCTGAATGTTGTTCTTAATCTGAAGTAGAATATCTGACCTGAGATCAGGCAGAGAGTGAAGATGAGGAGGATCTTCATCCTGAACTGAACTTCAGCTTCACTGAGATCATTAAAGTCCACTGTCTTCTTTTGTTCTCTGTAATGTGTCGTCCTCTCTGTGTGTCTCTGTCTTCCCTCTGCTTTGGTTGGTTCCTGTTTCTCTGAAAAGAGTCAGAGCTGTGAACTCACAGCTCCTCCCACCAGCACTTTCGTTCTGTGAAGCAGCTGCAAAATAACATTTGACTAAAACATTTCTACAGCAGAAATAAATTACTCTCAACTATCATTATCATACATTTCAGATTCATTTAGTTCAGTACTGATCAGTTAAAGGTTTCCCTTTCACACAGTTTCAGCTTCTGATGTCTCTTCCTTTTTTTTCAGGCCAAATAAATAAATAAAAAAAATAAAAAAATAAAGTGGTCATAGCAGGATGTGTTGTGTATATACTACAGCAGTAAATCACCCCACCCAAACCAAAAGTAACTCACGCACTCACAGTTGGCCTGTTCTTTGTGGGTTTGAGCTGTGTGAAAAGTCCCTTCTTCTTTACACAAACTGACCACAGGCTGTTTCTAAGCATGCCAGTAAATAAACATACAATTAGAAGCATAGCCTAAAAAATAATTAATTATGATGATCCTTGTAATTAATTACACAAACTGCATGTAACTCTGAAGTTGTACCTATCCTGTAAACAGACACATACAGTGATTAATGGTCATTTATAGTTTTACCATTGCAGTAAGGAGGTTTCGAGTGGTCCATAACAGTTACAGTCCATTATCACGCATTTAAGTTGTAAGTTAACTGTTGGAAAGCATTATCTGTACAAAAGTCATACTGTGGCAGCAGCACTTTGCACCAATTTTGGCAAGGAGGCTTTAAGGAAGCAGCATACTGTACCACAAGCTCCCCCTGCAAACCTTAAAGTTATTTGTTGTGTCTTGTTGTTGTTTGTGACTTTTAGAATGTGTCCTGTGTTGCTTGTGTTTTATGTGTTCCTGCTTGTGGGTTGTTCTGTGTTAATCTCCCTGCAATTGGGAGCATATGGCTTATAGTGACCTCATGGGTTTTGCTATGTAGGCCTTTTCTGCTTATTTCAATAAAAAAAGCAGAAATAATGGCCTCTCCCACATCTTCTTCTTATTCTATGCTAACCTCACAATATATTTTTAACCCCTGCTTTCTCCGCTTTAAACACAACTATTTATTTAAATTTTGAAATTAACCGAACTAAATATATGGCTCTTATTGCCTGGCTGAGAGTTCTGATCCAGTAGGCCATGGTCTGAGGTGAACAGCAGGCCCATGCACAGATGGTCCCAAGTGGGCTTGAGCCGCTGTCCCTTCACTCTCAGAAGGTCATAGCCATCACAGTATAGACGTAACGGTTGGGTATCGTACAGAGAATACGTGGTAGCCTTTGTGGATGCGTAATGCAGAACCAAATTTCACAAGTGCAGTTTCCACCTGGAAACCTTAAGCTGTAAGCCGTTAGCAAGTTAGCAACGTACCATGCTAAACTCAGCCAGAGATTCTTGCTTATTTCAAGCTGATTGGCATCTGACTGACAATGTGTCTCATTTAAAGTATTGTTGCTGTGTAGAGCATGTCCTTTGCAACGTCCTTAGCAATGGTTGTCCATGGAGGAGCCTACATTCAGTGGCAAATGATTTGGTCTATCAAGATTCAGAACTAAAGCAGCATCATAACTCCTGACCCCTGATCAGCTGTGAGGCTGAGTTTGAGGTGAACAGAGAGGTGAGGAAGGCAGCTATGGAGATAAATAAAAAAGAGAGGGTATTTTTTTAAACACAAGCTGAAATTAAACCAATGAAATGAGATTTACCCCTCTCCACAGCCTGCAGTACTTTTGTTTCTGTGAAGAGATTCAGCACAAAACCTTATGTTTGTTTTCTGCTCCTAAATCCAATATCACAGCTTAAGTTGAACTGTCATTGCACAAATTATTTAATGTTAGTGATTTTCTCCTGCACTACACTACAGGCTGTACTAATAAAAGTTACCTCAGTGGGGCGCTATAAAACACTAATTGGAACAAACCGCAACCTGCTCTACTGTCTGTTCAAAGTAAATGAAAAGTAACCTAGTCTGATGCAATTTGGTGTTTTTATGATGTCCAAACATCAGTGTAAACTATTGTATGTTCAGTCCAGTATCTTGAGTAATGTTATGGCTTCTACCCTGGTGTCTGGGATTAAAGTCAGTCCCTTTTTTTCTATGAGGCCCCCAAAATGTGTGTGCATGGGCCTAGTGAACAGCAACACAATGGCTTTGACTGTAACACTTCTGTCAGGCCATGGTCTCCACCTACCTCTCTCCCTTTCTGGCGTCGAATGTCTACTGATCACCAGCTCCGCCCTCCACCTGTTCTTCATTTCATCTCTGCTATTTAAACTCCGGCTTTCCTTCCTCAGTTGTGAAGCCTCTTGCTGATTAGTGGAGTTCTGAGCATTAAGCTCCTTACTTTGTAAAGCTGGTTTTCTGATTAGTTTCATTTGTTCCTGCTATTTTTGTTTGATACTGCCTTTCTGAATTAAAAGCCTTTTTTGCACATGCATCCTGTCTCCCATTGTCAGAGGACTTTGCCACATATGGATGCAGCAGGGGCAGATTCCCTGGAGGTATAGAGTAAAAGAGCCCTATTCTCAGCAGTAGGTGAGCAAGGGAGGCTTCTGGGTGACCATCACAGTAGGTTGGAAGAGCTAAGGACTACTATGGAGGAAGTACTTAGGATGATCCAATGCCCTTCCACTCAGGTTGGCTAATCTCTCACAGTTAGTAATCCTCCCTGTCCTCCTAAAGGACAATGCTCCTGAGTTTTAACCTGGTGACAGTATGGCTGTCCATTTAGGACATTCAATTGAGGTTGCCTTGTAGAAAGCTAAGCCCACGTTTTATAGGGCCTTGTAAGGTTACAAAGCACGTTAATCCTGTAACATACAAGTTACAGTCATAGACTTGGAGCACATTGCTCTACTTGATGCAAAATGCTGTTTGATGCTCAGCTGTCTCTTGGACTTGGTTTGCTTCTGCTGTCTCCAAACATACTCTCTGTCTGGTGTCTCCTTCTGTACTGAAAACAAAGGCATGTAAGTAGACAATTACACACAGGTGAATGCCATGCACAATCAGTCTGCTGCCTCACCGTGATCAGCCTCACAGACAGCACTTGATCATGCCCCCACTGCCACATTTCCCCATCCGGCCAGCTTGTCCCTTTAACAGGGCCTTGAACTGGCTCTGTTGCTCCTGGGAGACCTGGAGGAGGGCTTGGTGTTGGCTCTGATGAATCTGAGTGATGGTTTCTCCCATCAAGTCCTCTCTCCTTTGAGGACTTCTCCCAGCAGTGAGGTTTCCATGGTGGCTTCGTAACTCCAAATGCCTGGTTTGGCAACATTGTAACACCCTAGCAGAATAAATGGGAAGACATGTGTGTAGACAACATGTACTGCATGATGGTTACTGATGTAGGTTGAAGGCTGTCCTGCTAAACAGATTAAGTTTAGATCTCACAGAATCTTAAATAATATGGAACAGTTATTAATGTGTGGCACAAAGATGATACTTAAGCCCAATATGATAAAATGCATGTCCTATGTGTAGATTATTGTAAAAAGTAGAGCCATGAGCTATGGTCTAGTGCCCCACCACAACCTCTGGGCTATTATTATACCATGATGTTGTCTAAGGTGCTCATTGCCAAACAAGGGCAAAAAAGTTAATTGTTAATCATGTCAGAATGTTTGCATTTGGAGCTAAAAAACTGGAAATTAAAATAGAAGATAAGGAGAAAAAGCTTAAATATAAGTCTGTTTGTGGTGATATTATGTAATTGGTGTGGTAGCTGGACTAGAAGAAGTGACCAATCTCAGTTCTGCCTATTAAAGTATATTCAACTAAGGCAGCTTCAGCTTCACACAATCTAAAAACGCAGCTGTGTTAATTCATTTTACAACAGCAGTTTTTTACATACATGTTTAACTCATGTTCAGAGACTCTGTGATCAAACCTTGTTCACATAAATGGGTGATGATTATGATGATCAGCCAATCATGTGAATCATGAGGTGGAGTTGGTACAGAAGACGCTGCCTCCACCGCCACCAGGGTTAGATGAAACTAAGCTTAAAGTGAGCTTGGTGAGCAATAAATACTGCATGGTGAGACAGAGCTCTGGATGGAGATTGCTGAGAAGGTAATCTGTCATTTATACTGTAACTCACTAGAAGCCCTGATGGACATCAAATCATCAGCCATGATTAGCCAGTTGATACTGTATATAGTTTATAGAGCTGGGTATTAGTTAGCCATTCATTTTACAGTACATCATCTAGCAAAACAACCAGAACGTCCACTTATGTGCATCTCTGGAGAAAGAAAGGGCAACACACAGAGAGAAAAGCAAAGTGAAACTAACTATATAAATAAATAAAGAAAAAATTGCTCTCATAGAAAATATAGTCACTTTTTTTCACATGAAATATAATTCAGGAAACATAGTAGTAAATTTTAATGAACCATTTATTAAATTCAAATCAGACAGACAAAACACAGCAGAGACATATGTTTACATTTATAACTTACAAGTACAGCAAATTAAAAAGGTTTTACAACATTTGGGAAGATATAAATCAATCAATCAACCTTTATTTAATCACTGAGAAGATTGAGGGTGACCCTCATTTACAATGGTGTCAAGATAAAAATATTTAAAAATACAATTAAAAACATAAAAAAATACTTAAAACAGACCTAAAATGTTAAAGTTAATAAAATAAAATAAAATCAAAATAAAATAAAAGGAGAATACGATCAAAAAGTAAACTATAAATGAATTAAAATGACTAAAATATTAAAATATCAATTAAAATAAGAATAATAATATGAATAATAAATAAACAAACAAATGGGTAATAAAAGAATGAAAATAAGATGATGGTAAAGAAATCAGGTAAACAGTTGCAGGCAGAGTGGAGGTGGTTAGAGAGTAAAGGCTTTAAGTAGGAATCAATTGAAATGCTCCATTGTAGATCTTTTTATGTAAAAATGCTTCTTAAATTACAGATAAACACAAAACA